TTGTTGTTATTGTTATTGTTATTGTTGTTGTTGTTGTTGTTGTTATTGTTATTGTTATTGTTATTGTTATTGTCGTTGTCGTTGTCGTTGTCGTTGTCGTTGTCGTTGTCGTTGTCGTTGTCGTTGTCGTTATCGTTATCGTTATCGTTATCGTTATCGTCGTAATCGTCGTTGTCGTCGTCGTCGTCGTAGTAATTATCGTATTGTTGTTATTGTTATTGTTATTGTTGTTGTTGTTGTTGTTGTTATTGTTATTGTTATTGTTAATAATTATTTAAGGTAGTGCTAGGGGACATGCAGCATGCCATATGTTTGCTTAAATGCAGTTCCCATGATCTCTCGCCACTCCCCATGCTGGCCTGGATTTCTGGGAGCTGCACTTCGGCAATGATTGGAAAGCCACCAGATCCCCGTGAGATAGAGTGGGAGGAGTTCAATGGTATGAAAGCTGTGCAGCACTTGCTTTGCATGCCAAACATCCCAGGTTCAATCCCTGGTACCACCAATTAAAAGGATCAGGTAGCAAATAATGAGGATATTGATCCTCCTGTGCTTTAAACTCCAGAGAACATCAGGCAGTCAAGGCTCAAGGCAGGCAATACTGGGTAGGTGGACCAAGAGTATATCACCTGATGTATATGGTGATAGAATAATAGGGGAAGCTTCGCTTGTTGAATGTCTGCCTGCCACACAGCCTGAAAAGTACTGCCTGTCTCTCAAAGCAGCATTAAAGCCATTTTACGAAGGAGTTGTGGGGGGGGGGGGAACTTAGGAAAGGACGTGCTTTGTACGTAAAAGGGCCCAAATTCCACCTCAAAGGATTTACTGGATCGCCAGTTAGACATGCCACAAAGAAGCACATGCATCGTCAGAAGGAAAGATGAAAGAAGATGCCAAACTGTATAACATTTGCAGCTTTATATCTACAACGGTGACATCAGAAATCCTTTGTATAATTTTGGAAAGAATTACCATACATCTTTTGGAAATAATTACCACACCTCTCTTGTGTGCCTGCTGAATCTATGCTCCAGGTGCATTTAACTGGGGGTTCCCAACTTCAGGGTCTCTGGTCTTAGTTATTATTGGTTCTTTGTCTTTCAATCAGGCTTGGACCGGGCAGCCCACAAAATAAAACAAAAGAAACCTTTGAAAAGACGGCTGCTGCCCCTCCAGAAAGAGAGAGAGAGAGAGAGAGAGAAACAAAGAAAGAGCATTCTAATTACCGAGTTAGATTGACCAAGGATAAGACGGTGTCTTCTGTATTTTGTGTGAGCCACTTGTGGTGTGCTTCTTCGGGTGTACCAAGGATCCTGTATGCCCGGTCGAAGCGACCAAGGGGTCTGGATTCTTAGGTTCAGGTCTTGCAGAACAGCTCCTTTGGCAATCCACACCTCTTGTGCTGGTTCTGGCAACAGCGATAACTTAATTCTCTCCCTTCTAGGGCCAGTGGGCTTCCAGTCGAACAACATCCCCTTGGAAAAGGGCATGTTTACTTCCATTGGTAAGTGCCACCTAATCTTCCCAAGCCCTCGTACCACCAAGCTTCGTTGGCTGCTGGTGCTGCTTCCTCTTCTTTCCTTCCCCTCCTTCTCATCCTCCTCTTCTTCTCCACCTTCACCTTGAGTACAGGAACCACAAGATGTCTCCCATTGTATTCTGGTGCATGGTAACCCAATTAGTTTGCAGTAGCCATCATGAATACACATCTTAGGATACATCAAGCAACCTTTCCCAGTCCGACAGCCTCCTGGTGTTTCGGACCACAACTCCCAGCATTCCAGACTTTGGATTCAGAATTTATTCAGGAAACAAACCAAAGGGAGGGGGAAAGGTTGCCCACTTCTGAGTCAATCCAAAATGAAGTGAGGAAGCCCAAAGCAGAGCTCGGATTGAATCCAGGATCCCTGATGTGCCAAATTATGCTTTGGA